TTGTTTCGGTTTATTTGCAGACTCGTCAGAATGGTGGGTAGCATGCCCAGCGGATGGATGAGGAGGATCCTCCTCTTCCTCGTCCTGATGACCGGTGTCCTGCTGATCGCCATGTACACTCATGCTCCGCCACTCGCATCGTTGCAACCGTTTGCGACGCGACGGTAAGTTTTTTTTATTGCAATCACTTACTTTTCAAGCAGACAATTTGACAAGTAAAACACAATAATATCTTTTGAATATTCTGTTGAATAAGACAAACTGGAAATCGTAATTGTTGTGTAAATGTATAGAAATTATGCATTCCACGGATTATCTGCGTGTTCAAATTTATTCTTAGAATCACTCAGGCCCATTTTTACAATATATGGTTACCTAAAGATTAAAGGTTATCAACAGATTCATCAATGAAATTCATTCATGAATTTCTTGGTTATCTTTAATCTTTAGGTAACCATTGTAAAATCGGATTTTAGAATGCTAACGTTAATATGTTCCTCCTTTAGTCTGCATCCATATTCAAAGATTTGATGTGAATCTATATTTATTTTGATAATGGATGTAGGATCTTTGAATGTGAACGCAGACTCGGCTTGATAGTCTGGACGCATTCTAAGAATGGAAAGATTTGTACACTGAGATAACCCGCGGAACGCATAATTTTTGTATAGAAAGTGCCTGTGGAAACTATAAAACAGGAGTTGTTAAATATGTTGAAAAAAGCCAGCAGTCTCTTTGAACTCCGTTCTATTTTATGTTTCACTCTGATTTTAATTCACACAATTTTTTAAGAAGAAAAATATCTCTGAGTATTGTAAGACAAATCTTTGCGAAGCGCAAAATCGCTTTTTTCCTTTTAATTTCTATATATTTCTATATTTTCTGTTAACACACAGCCAGCGCAGGTTCGTTTGCCCGCGTTGTGTATTAATCCAGTGCCTCTTCTGATAATTTTCTTACACTGCATGATTTTTGTTTTTATTTTGAATTTATTTTGCACTCGCAACGCGATGAATCGTGCATCGAAGAAGACTAGAGGACTTGCAGCGTGGCTTGGTTAATTACCTGGTGGGTAATGAAACCACGATCGGACCTGGCGAACGGCTCTACGAGTATCTGGAAGAGCCTAGGTAACGGATAGCCCCCGACTGAGGGTGAAATCTTATGCTAGATCAAATGTCCTGCGTATGTTTTTCATACCTCCCATCCCCGCATTGATCTGATTCCTCTCTGTTCACGTGTGTCTGATTCAGGAAAAAGTATTTTTGAACAACTCTTTCTCTATTTTCACAGTGTTACAGCGTATCGAATGGCTATACAAAAATTCGCTTTGAACTGTTACAACAAAAAAAAATCAAATAAAAGCATAGTTTTATAGAAAAAAAGTTTGTCCTCTCTCTCGAGTTCTAAATTCTACAGAGAGATGAAACCATGTTTGTATTTCACAGAGCAATTCGAATCTTTAATTTTACAAGGCAGAAACCGGTGTAGCGATATCAATGAACATGTTAAGAATTTCATCCGCACGTGAAACTTTACAACGAGTATATGTGAAAGTAGTAGTATCAGAATCTCAAGTATTTATTTAATAGATCGTCTAGACTCGTTTTCGATGAGGCGAATTAATCGTGTTTGAGATAATGTCCTTTCACTTTATTTTTTTTTTCGGAACCAGTCACGTGCCGTCTGATACCAATCGGACATTGCTCTCTCAATTAAACAGTTACCCAGGCATGACGTTGCAACACGTCGACCGCCTCAGTGAACGAATTCCCTGAATGTTCTGAATTTCCACGTGAGAATTCCCGTATATTCCTCTCGGCTGGTGTACCTCTTGCAACGTCGCACCTTCTGATGCTCGTCCCGTTTAATCCACTCGCCCGAGCACGCCCGTTATACTAAACGCACGCCCGCGCCCGCTATTGTTACGCACTATTGTCTCTTGTATTGCGCGGATTGTACGGTTGCTGCATTTGTCCTGACCCGCTTCGCGCGAAATCCGACTTTCCCGACCTTCCATTCTGAGAACGAGACTCGTCTTTGCCTTTAGAGACGATCCAAACTCGATTGGGAGTTTGCGTGAGGATAAGAAAAGAATGTATTTATTTTTGAAAGAAACCTGGAAGAGAAATCTTTTTCACTTCTATCCATATAACAATCTTCGATTTCTATAACGCGAGATACAACTAATCCTCCAATTAGTTTCCTGCGAACCGATGTAAATAGTCGTTGTTTCACTCGCGAATTTCCCTCTCGAATTTTATCGGAGCACTCCTTTTTCAGCGATTTCTATTGAGGCATTCGTACATTTCACCGTTCTTCTACTTTGAGCAGAATGTTATTCCGTTCCATGATTAGCCAGCTATTTTCTTGGGTGCTTCTGTTCGTTCGGCAAATATCGCTTCTCTCTTCTTTCCTTGCTTTTCTAATTCGAACGATGCCAATGATATTGCTTTTTACGCTTTCATTTCTCTTGCCGTTGTAATGAGTACCTCTTCATTTGTCGGAGGTATGACATTATTAGCTTGACCGAGATAGAGAATGAGTTGCGGAAAGTAGATCTTATCTTTTTCTTCTACTAAAATGGGTGAACTGTCATGGTTCTTGATTTATGAAATTGTTTGCTTCTGTATTATTATTTGAGTTACGCGCTCTGATAAAATAATATTTATTTTAATTTGTTATTGAAGTTATTTAGTTAACAATTTTATTTAAATACCTGTCTTCTTATTATAAGATAAAAATATATCTATGTTTAATGTACATGAAATAATTTATAAAAAATGTATTTAACTTTTTTTGTATGCGATTTTTTTCTTAAGTTATGTATTTATTTCAATTATTTGACATTACTGAGCTGTTTTGTTAATTTTTTGTATAGTTCTATTTACTTCTACGCTCAGATGTTGCACAAATTGCTATTGACAAACATTGATTCAATTGTTAATACAATATTTAAAGAAAAGATTGCTAACCGCGACATATTAAATTTCTCAATCGTCATTTCGATCATATAAAATCGAATTCTAAAATAAAATTTATCGCATGTTATCTCCTTAAATGTACCTATCATTTTTAACATTTTCCACATTTTTTATTGCGAGACAGGTATTTGTTGCAAACTGGATTGCTAAAGAAAACATATGACTACTTGGTAATCTGTGGTGTGACAAACAAATGGATATGTACGTATTTGAAAATTTAACAAAGCAGAATTATTTCTTTCAAGGAAAAAGTTATCGAACTTTGATCTTAAAAAAATCGATATTTTTCAGTCATGCCACAAATTGCCAGATTAAAATATTCTGTACATTATCATTGCGGAAAATCCATTCCTATAATTGTGTAAGCGTAACTGAAATTGTAGTTGTAAAAATTGACTAATCACAATCGAATATTCTTCTCATATTTGATTGTGATTGGTCAATTCTTACAATCACTTATTACTACCCTTATGTAATTATAGAATAGGTTTAAAGGATCGCGATTATAGATCGAAGTACGAATTCAATTTTCACTCGATCGCAGGACATTTCAAAGTCCGTGGTCCTGGGCATGTGTGGCGAATCGATGCGAGAGACGAGCAGTGAGGTCCTCGAGGACATCCTTAGCGACCTGTACCGCGCATTGTGGAGGAAATAATCGTCTATTGTGGCCCAGACCGACCGAGAACGTCGTCCTCGGCGATGACAGTGTCATCCTGCATCTTCAGCAGATCGAGTTCGTCACCGTAAATACAAGCGATCAGGAGACGAAGGATCTGCTGGATCATGCGAAGGATATCTTCATCGGTGAGTGTTGAAGAGTGTTGAAGATCAGGAGAAGAGAATATTCACCTAACACATCAAAGATACTTTGCTCAACAACAGCTCCTTGTCATTAATCATTATAGAAAGCGCAAGGCAAAAACTTTATTAATTTTCTGAGATACTCTTAATTAGTAACGCTTGTCAACCTCTCGTATTAACAAATATGACAAAGCAAATATATATCATAAAATATATATCAGATACAAGATCACGTATTTTATGTAGTATCAAAGTTACGTAGTATGTATTAAAATTACAACTTCTACATATTATATTTATATGTTCCAGAATAGGGAATTACTGAATTTCGCATTTTGTAAATAATTATTCAGCATGTTTTGTGTAATTAAGGTCTTTATTCTATAACTCTTAATGACAATGTATCATTATATTATCGTTGCATAGATTTTGTACATGAAAAAAGTTGCAGCGCAATATAACGACATCGACACTGTTGTTAAAAAAATAAAGACCCAAGTTGATGGAATTGCTGCTTCCTTTTATGTAAAACATCTTTTTAATTGTAGGAAATATTAGGAGTTTGGTTAAGGTGTTGAACGCTAAAAGTCGATCCGGTATCGATTCGTTCATTGTGTACCTGAGCGCTGGCAATGCGCGGGGCACCACCTTGACTCTGGACACCGATGAGTCGTATAAGCTAGAGGTCACATCGAAGGGGAAGATTTTGGAGGCCAGGATCACGGGGAAGAGTTACTTCGGGGTGCGGCACGGTCTTGAAACCCTTAGCCAGTTGATCTGGTGGGATGAGGCGGCCGGCAAGCAGGGCGCTCTTCGCGTCCTCACGCGAGCCTCCATCGAGGACAAACCCGCATTCTCTTATCGAGGCCTTCTCGTCGACACCGGCAGGCAGTTTTTCCCCGTCGAGGAACTGAAGAGGGTCATTGATGGCATGGCGGCCACAAAACTCAACACGTTACACTGGCATCTCACTGACTCCCAGAGTTTCCCGTTTGACTCTGCGCAGTTTCCGGAGATGGCGAGATGGGGCGCTTACAGTGGTGACCATATTTACACACCTGAAGATGTGAAGGACCTAGTCGATTATGCAAGAATACGCGGCATCAGAATCGTCGTTGAGATTGATTCCCCGGCTCATGCTGGCGCCGGGTGGCAATGGGGTGAGTTCCCTCCAAATTTTGTAATATTAATTTTATTAATATAAATCTATAATTTTTTTATTAATATAAATCTTCTTGGCACAAATTAGCACTTTCATTATATTTTTTATGATAATTAGGTACGGAACATGGTTTTGGTGAGCTGGCGTTGTGCGTGGATCAGCAGCCGTGGTCATCATATTGTGGTGAGCCAAATTGTGGCCAACTGAATCCAATAAATGAACATTCGTATAGGATACTGGAGGGCCTATACCGAGAATTATTAGATCTCACAGAGGTGCGCGATTTAGTGCACCTCGGTGGCGATGAGGTGAATCTTGAGTGTTGGGCACAATATGGCAATATCACTCTCGCAATGCAGGCGCAAAACATGACGGATTATCATGCACTTTGGGCGGAATTTGAGACGAAAATGCTGCAGCGATTGATTCGAGCGAATCACGACAAAGTTCCGAAGGCGGTAATCCTATGGAGCTCTCCATTAACGAAGAGGCCTTACATCATGATGTACTTCGACCCGAAAATTCATGTGATTCAGTCTTGGGGTGGTAGTAATTGGCCGGAAACGCCGGACCTGTTAGAGGACGGCTTTCGGGTAATCTTGTCGCATGTAGATGCCTGGTACCTGGACTGTGGCTTTGGTAAGTGGCGGGAGGTCGGTGAGGCCGCGTGCGGCGAATACCGAACTTGGCAAACTGTTTACAATCATCGTCCATGGAAGGACTATCCACCACAACAGCAACTTTTGGTGCTCGGCGGCGAGGCGGCGATCTGGAGCGAACAGACCGGACAATCGTCCCTGGGACCTCGACTATGGCCTAGGGCGTCGGCGTTCGCTGAACGATTATGGTACATAATATAATGTAGTAAATATATAACAGCGATTTTTTTCTACAACAAAATTTACAAGAAAATTCTTTTTTCCAGGAGTGACCTATCGACGAATAGTTACTCCACAGACGAGAACGTTTATACCAGACTAGCCGTGCATGTCGAAGTCTTGAACAGCAGAGGCATCAAGACGGAGTCAATGTGGCCGCAGTGGTGTTCCCAGAATCCCGGGAAATGTCTCTGACCGATCGTTAGAGATTCACTAACTATCCACCAGCCGTTCCACGAGAACTGTACTTGCGGTACTGATAAATATATAAAAATAAGGTTTCACAAAAAGCGGCGACGTCAGTTGCAAGTTCTGTCGATGGTCGAAATCGATCTCGTCCGACACGCAATGACATCGCGTATTCGTGATCCATGGGACCTTTCGATGCACATCCTGCCGACGAAATTGACAATCGTTTCTGCTTGAAATCGACGGCTTTTTCATTCACAAGACATGAACGTCGAAGAGATCCGACATTCGGCAAATAACATCAACATTAACATCAATGTAACGAATCACTAAGAAGCTCTCTCTGCGTATGTAATATATATGCAAACATATGATAAGCTGCAAGATTGCAGAGGTGACAATGGATAAGCTGTAACTTTAAACCAACACGCATTAACTTGATGTAAAAGAATGCGTGGCTGGTAACGATTAATTGATTCAAACTCCTCTTGTGAAGAGATTTGAAATCAAGCTTCATGCAAGCTTAGTTTTATAAGCGTCTACTTAAATCGAATAATTGCAATCTAGTAGAGCCGCGGATATTCTATTGATGAAATGTTTCGGAGTCCGAACTGTATGCCGATCATGAATGTTGCAAATTTTTCAATTCCTTAATATCTAGAAGATATTGTTGTTTTGAGAGTAAATTATATGTCAAATATGTCTAAAAAATATATATCAAATTTATAAATTATTACGAAATTGATATATATATGTGTTACAATGTTATTTGTAAAGCTGTTTTCGATCTCGATTTCTATTGTGTTAAAGTACAAAAATTTCGCGTTCGGGCTTTTCAAAAACTTTTTCCAGCACTTGCTTTTTAACGAGTGATACATTCTAATCTTTTTTTTTTCGTTTATCGATGCAAAATTCTAAACATTACTCTGTTAATTGTTTAATTACATTATACTGCATAATGATGCATAATTGAAACAAATTGGGATAATTGTGCATCATGTTTTAATATGAGAGATGATGAGGTACTGCCTCGATCGAGACTCAGTTAAGAGTCCTAGCGAGAAGGAGCCTTTAAAGCGAATGAGAAAAGAAATACGATGCGCAGGAAGCTTATCGCGTTATTTCTCGGATCCCCCAAATCGAGGATAGCGAGAGTAGATTAGCTTTATCACTGAAACGCCTCAGCCAGGGGCAATTTTATAGCGCGTAATTTAGCTTTTTAATGGTCGAGATTACATTATTGAAAGTATAAGTAACAAATAACGAAAAAGGTATATGTATGCGATGGTATGATAATTCCGACGTTATGATATGAATGAGAGAAAAGAAAGAGTGCTGTATGTTTGCAACTGATCTATATTATTAAAGATTATCATATATAATGAAAACGCTTGATATCAGAGAGCTTGAAATTCGTCGATTTATCGGCACGCAACACTAATCGAACTTTCTATTTATCGTCAACGCAAAAATGCTCAGGGCAGAGTGCACAATTATCGAATATTTCTTACGCGCGTGGAGGACGTAGGATACAATCTCTTTATTTCTCAAGCATTGAGTTTAATGTTATTATTATACATTATTCATCGAATGTATATTTACGTTTTATTAATTCGTAAATAGATTAGTTCGAAATTGAAACAGTCATTATTGTACAATTATTCATTTGTATGAAAAAAGGAAAAATATTTTAATTTAATAATTTATTTCGAAAAATAAGAGGCATTACATTGTAATATTATTTTTAATTTCATGTAATTGCCGAGATTTTATCACGTTGTAATTTCTAATTGTCCCAAGCTCGGAAGATGACGTCTATATCATCACGACGAAAAATTTGATTTATAGAACGCAAAGAAACTCGCCCAATTATAATAATTCCAAGATGCATATGATTGTTTATAATGAAAAAAAAAGTCTGGTAATATAGCTATTAAATATGTTTTGTTCCGCGTCGTTATTGGTGCAATATATATTACCAAATATTATAATAATAATAACCAATTGTTTGGAAACAATTAGAAAAATATATTTAATAAAAGGTAATATATTTAGAAAAGATAATATTTAAAAAAATAGGAAACATAATATTTAAAAAAATTAGCATTTAGTTAATTTTATATTATAATTGAAAATTTTTTAACAAAATTATTTTCCCAAAGCTTTAGTATTATTATTTAGTATTATTATTTAGGCTTGTGATTATTGTTACCAGACTTTTTTTTCAGTGTAAGCGACGCAAGTGATCTTCACTAAAAAGCGAATGCGCGTGGAAATTCGCCCCCTTAATCCCTGTACAACGTGGCCTATGAATTACGTAAGAAAACGCAAGTGATTCTTGGAAATTTGTACATATTTCATAATGACGTAGGGAGCAACTTATAATATACATATAGATAAGCGTGTAGATAGAGGCAAATAGCTAAGATATTTATTAGGTGAACCGATAAACGGTTATTTAGGCGAATGAATAGACATAGGCGAACCGCTCACGAGGGACAATGGGGGCGAAGAATGTGACGCAAGTCTAGAAGAGATGTTGGAATATCTGTACTTATTGATACTTACCGATATTGATGGCTGTAAGAGGAGTTAATTCTCTCGTGCATCTCTGTAGATGTAAGATCGTAAATGTTAAAAGATTACTGATCAACATTGTCTCGAATTATGATGTCATTTATAAAAAAGTATCCAAATAATTAATAAAAGTAAAGAAAGAACTTTTGATTGAATTAAAGCATTAAGTTAGAATGAAAGTTCATTGCGCTACGAAATTCAAGCAGCTATAACTTTATTAAAAATGAACGAAATTTAAATTTAGAAAAAAGAGTTTTAAAACTTAGAGTTTTGAAAGTTTACTGTGCCTTTTGAGTTTTTATGAGTTTGATTATATTTACATATAAAAACTACAAGCTGGACAACATGAGAAAATTTTCTTCTCACTTTGTGGACCCAAAAAACTTATGACTTTTTAATGTGAAAAAAAGCTTGAAGTTTTCTCTACAAAATTGTTTTCTAAAATATTCTTATAAGATTTTCATGTTACATATAAAGTAACGCTACAAACTTTCGTTCAAATTCATTAGTTCTAATGTTTAAAAAATTAAGCAGTTACTGTTTACTATTTAACTTTTCTGTCATTTTACTTGAATATTCTTGTGACATTATAGTGTAAGATAACTGACATAATAAAATATTGAGGATTTTTACGATTGCAATTTCGAGCACGAATTACTCCTCCGGTTATTTCTTATGTCATATTCGTCTTAATCTCGATTAATGAAACAGGAATCGATAAATGTGCAGATAAACGTTACGTGTAATGATAACAATTTATCGGATACGTTGAAGAACAAGAATTTTACGAGGATTAGGACGGTGATATTTACGGTACGTATACTTACGTTATGCGACTCTCTTCGGTCCGCAACGATGAATGTATGTAAATAAGACACAATTGTGTGTATGTTTCGATGGTTCTCCGAACTGATTCGAGCAGAAAGATATACTCTGTTATGACGTGTCCCTTACACGGATTTAACATAAAATGAATTTTGAATATATCACTTCGTTTGCTTTATTCCCTACAAGGTTGTCCTATTTCCTTATTGAATATGCATTGAATATGCGTTGCATAAAACCCTTTTCATGATAAACATTTATCAAAAAGAAAGATCTTAAGAAAATGTATTCTTTTTTATATAAATATTTATGTAATATTTATAAGGTTTAAAAAAATTTTTTTGAATAATATATCGTAATGGTATAACGTATTGTTATTGATTTTGTCATTTAGCGTCTTTTGTTACTAAAATTGTAAAAATATTAAAAATATAATTTTTAATGTTTTATAAATATTAAAAATATAATTTTTAATATTTTATGTAATTTTATTAAAATCAATAAATATTAATATATATTAATAAATCCGTTTTGAAAATGTATCTATTGAGTAGTCATTTTTGAATTGAATTATTATATGCTAATTGAAATATTATATATCAAAATTGAATTATTATATTATATACTAATTGATAGCATCATAATGATATTGATATCTGTTTACGTCGCATCAGTTTCTGATGCGGAAGTTGATCGAGTAATATCATTAGAAATTCGAACTATGAATCCTATAATAATTTGAGCTAATATTGGCAGCAGTCTATCAAAAAGAACTTTCAAAGATTAAACTTTTGATGGATCGCATTCTAGATAAGTAATTTGTTTGTATTCTCATAAATACGTTGCACAAAGCATGGCGACAGTTACACACCTAAAAAAATCAAATCGTGACATGAGTTAGAGATGATAATGATAAAAGAATATCCTGAAAATTGATATTTTATAAACATCAGTAAGATTATGAAAATTTGAGAACGGCACATATGTCAGAGTTTCAAAAATAATAAAAATGAATTTACGTAATATAACGATTACAAAATTTAATATATTAAATTGGATATTAAAAGATATTAAACTTAATTCGATAAATTCTTTCTTTAGTAAAATTGTACAAGAGTTTGAAATAATTGTTACTTAATCCATTATTTAGAAATTTTACCTCAATTGCATTGATTATAGAATTAACACATTTATATTTACTTAAAATTTAAATAATTTTAAATTTAATGAGTTAGGTAGCAAATTTATTTTCACTAAATTAATACTTATTTAAAATTATATATATATATATATGTGTGTGTGTGTGTGTGTGTGTGTGTGTGTGTGTGTGTGTATGTATGTATATGTAACATTTTTAAAATAGATATCTCACATAGAGAGATTAAGTGTGTCTTCCAACAAGCAACACAGTGCGACACAGTGATCATCTCATTTTTCTTTAACATTGGCAAACAAAAAGGATGTACTGATTTATTGTGTCACACCATGTCATTTGTATCGCTTGTTAGAAGATATAGTAAATTATGCTTATTATATGTTGTTTGTTTATGACACAATTGGAAATCAGGACGCTTCGACGTGCAACGAACACACTTTTCTCGGCGGATAATTCGTTGACTTGCTCTACGTCGTCAAGTTTGTTTTTACGTCATTACGAGAGAAAGGTCCGGGGTGCGGAAAATCGTGCATAAGTAATCGCTCAACGCGCAGCCGCCCGATTTATGTTCATGATTTTCTACCAAAGTTTCAGATCAGCCACGATCACGTACGCAGGTGCATATCCTAAAGAAGTTACATTTCAAACAGTGCTGTTACTAGTACTCATATATAACGTGAAATAATTGTGATTACAATAAAATAAAATTTAAGGTAAGAGATAAACGTTGTGCTATTAATTTCAATATTGTAAATCGATGATAAAAAAATTACGATCTATATATATAGTAAGAACTATTGATAAGAAGAGCAAAGAAATTATTTGGAAGCAATAATTGATAATTATAAAGAAGTGAGAATTGAATATTAGTAGAACTTTGATTTAAATAATAATGTATGTCGTTGCAACGAAAATGCATAAGATTGTATTAAATTTTTTGCATTGTAAATGGAATGAATGGACGAAAATTTTATTGCAATTAAAAAATAAAAAGAATAACAGATTTATTTTTCTTATTTCTTTAGCGTTGGAATGAGAGAAGCCGAAGTGGAACATTTCTTAGCCAAACAGAGCCAAAAATGCAAATTTTTTGAAGGTGAGCTCGAATTCATATTATTTAAATATTTGTTTTTTTTTAATTAAATATTAAAAAAAATTGTAATTCTCACATTGTTTTGCGAAAAAAATCATCTCGTGAAAAATCATTTAATGTCTTAAAAGAGTTTAGAAAATCTTCTTAATTTGGTTGCAAATGATAAATCGATCTATCAGGGTCTATTAGACCTCCGGTAGAATATTCTCTCATTAATTAGACAATCATTATTACATCAACGAGAATGCTAGGTATGTCCACGTTTGGCAATATGTCGGAGGCCACTGGAATCAACTTATTCGGATATAACGTCACTGATGAAGATCAATTGGAAAAGTATCGCGGCGTCGAGAGCAACGGAACAAAAATTCGTCAATGTCCGCCGTTCTTCGATGGTTTGCTCTGCTGGTCACGTACTGACGCACCAGGAA